TAATAATTAAAAACTGAAACTAATAACTAATCGTGGGTAATGTAGTAGCATTCGTGAATAACGATGGATTTGAACAACAGATTCCATCACTGGTGCTTTTCCAGAAAATCAAAGACGTGCCATTATGTGTGAAAAAAATATGCAAGATCGCACGGCTGCGGAAGAGGGAGACGAAGAGAGGAGAAATGACGACAGAATAAAGCAGAGTGAAGGAGAAAGACTGAAAATGAGATGGAAAAGAAAAAGGAAAAATTCAGAGGGAGAAGCAAGAGAAGAAATAAATAATACAAATTATATAAGAAGCAAAAAGGCAAGGAAGACGAACAAGAAGAAAAACAAGAAAAGTTTTGACCTTATATCAGAATTATATGAACAAGCGCCAGTAATCGGCATCAGGCCGTTTTTTTAAAAACTAAAACAGGCTATGAATACCACTCTCATCAGTCAAATTAACATAAATTCAACGAACAACCATGAATTTATTTGTCTTACGGTGGCATCATCAAATTACAAATATACAAAATATATTACACTTTGTTATAATAAAAATATCGCAGTCGATACATGGAATCAAAACAGGTTCGCTAATTAAGGAACCAGCACGGCTTTCAGGCTGACTTGTCAAACGGCTCACATGCACCCGGGTTCTGTAATACGTGGAAGGGGATGACACAATCGACAATCTGCGCGCCTCGGTCAATCTGAATTGGGTTCGAAACATGAAACAGCAACTTTGGTATTCATTCAATCCCTGACCCAGAATCGAGAACAGTTTTAAAATTTTAAATCCTCAAAAACAGAAGGTCTTCTGATGCAACGGTAAAAGACACGAAAACGAGATGAAATGCTGAAATTTCGAAAATGCCATGGTGTCCATCATCTTAAAGCAGATTAAGCTACCAACAACCAGCAAGTTAGACGCCATAGCAAATAATTATCGTGTAAAGTACTCGAATTAATTTATACATTAAAATACACGCAACAGTATATCGAATTAAAAATATTAGGAGTATATGCTCATACTACTAATAAACGCAGTTATAATGCATTTGTTCGCAAACTGTTAGCTTTCTATATCGCCGGTAAAAATAATATTCGTTTGCCGCCTCGGACATTGTACGCGCTCAAATTTCATGTAGCCGAGCCGGAGCCCGCTTAAATGGTCCCCTAGGTTACTAGAATCAAAAGGATGGTCCGTTACGTCTTACAAATCAAGAAAACGGACAGGAGAAAGCATAGATTTACCTTTTTGCTCTTATCTCATCACATCGACGAGGATACCTGGCGCCAGTTGGATTGAATAAACGCACGCTCATTCTTCACCCCCTTTCTAAGGAAATCTCCGTCCTGTTGGAGATCTTCCTGGACGACGTCTCTTCTATCAGGCTTTGAGTTCAACATCCTCCTTTCAAAACGGATATCGTCCATTCATTGGCAATGGCCCATCATCTTAAACAAATTGTCTGCGGCCAGTCGATCATCTTAAATATACGAATGACTGTGACACCTTCCACCTTACATATTTTTATCTTCTACGATGGCAACAGAAGATGGATCGACCATGTGGCTTTTCCAAGAAAGCTTATTTTATCTGAAGGACAACTGATGAACGTCAAGAATTAAGAAACTGGGTTCTGCTGCACTGCAAACGCCTAAAGAGTTCGTAAAGAACACGTTGGGATGATCTGACGGTCAAATTATTTGACCACAGGCGGGGACAGCGAACAGAAAAAATTACATGAGTGTAGATTTGCGTTCATGGTGGATCCACAACGAAGTGAGACGAAAAATTGACTCAGTTGTTTTATTTTGTTATAATCCATCTGCACTGCTGGAATACCTTAAGAAGCAGTATTGCTGTACAAACCGCTATTCTCAGCACCGTTGCTCATAGAAACTAACAGAACGCCAGATGTATGAAGTACAGCAAACAAAATATAGCATAGCCGTTACCATTTGAAACGGCACCTTGAGTCTCCGGGAGCGACGGATAGTGCAATACTTGTAATTTCAACGACCAAAGTGGAGCCATGTTTAGATTATATATTAAATTACATAAGTACTTTAAACACGGAGGTGGATTTGGATTCTTTTATGCCACAGTTTAGTTCAAAGCTAAATCACGGAATTACGTCGCATATAAAATTTATTATATACAAGTTCTCCAACGTTTCGGATCATGTTCGATCTGTCTTCAAGCTGCGACATATAACAGACACAATGTTACAGTATTTGTCGGGGTATTTAGGTATAAATTTCACTGTGAAGGTTTTAGCCTCGATAATGGAAGTTGCTTGATAACCTTGTTTCATGCGAGCTTATTTCCATGCGATGTCTCTGAAAAGTTTTAATCAACTTCATACAATGATTGTGGGACTTTTCGGACCGATTTCAGTAATCCGTCTCCACATAAATAATGAGTCATTTTCATGCCTGTCGAGCTGACCCTTCTGATTGATGATGCCGCGCTTTTCCTTTATTGGTTAACAATTTTCTGATATTTTCTGTCCATGTGTGTCGCTGACAACTGCACTAAGGTCGAACGCGGCCATTACACCAGGTCCATACGTTTGATTGCTGAGAAAAAAATTATGACATATGGAGTGTAAAGCCGGTGGCATCCAGTATAAATGGGTGTTCAAACCGAGTATAATGCCTTGCAGTAATGTCAATAAACTGAAGATCAAGAGATCACACGGGCAGAAGCAAGATTCGGTGTAAAATCTGTAGTGGTCATGTCTCAAACGGGTAAGACTTTCGAGGAAAGGAAGACGAGCACGAAAGAACCTCATCAGAGGGAAGAAAAATGGGTCTCGGACAAGTAGCAAGAAAAAGGAAATAAACAACAGACCTAAAATAAACCTCCTGTAAAAAAACCTCCTCTACGGTAGAACATCACATACGCCATCAGCATACGATATGCTGGGACAAGATGAATAGCGAAAAAAACAAAGCTGATCCGCGCAACCAGCTGTGCCAATGGCTACGTTCGCGTAGTTGTCAATGACATATTGACGAAAAACATCAAGTGACCATTTACGACTAACTGCAAGTCATATGGAGATGGTAGAGTGGTCAACCGAGGAAAGACAGCTGGAGCATATCAAACATGTGACGCCTTGAAGTGCAGTTCGTGGAGTTTGTCCGGGCCGATTGGAAAAGTGTTAGACACACTGGTAAACTCCTGATGAGGCTACTTCCCTCACAACCTAAAGGCAAATGTGACAATGAAAATAAATTCATTAATTATGATAAATATTCTGCATATACACGTTCGGAAATTAAGCTAAATAAGCCGTAATTATTCAACGAACGAATCGATCGATAATCTGAATATAGACACGCCAGAAAACAGCAGTTTCGTCTAGGCTACAGGAATCGTTCGCGATCTGTCACGAACACAGATATCTAAATCTCAAACGAGCAGCTGACATCGTTTTTAGCCAGGAGATTTCACTACTATCAGTCATGAAACGGATGGTCGGCCGTTCATCGTTAGTCGATGAGCATCAACAACCAACGAACAAATGAAAACTGTTACTCATCGATGCTGAATGCCAGCCGGCTGAACGAGTCAAAGTATGATCATAAGAGTCATAATTGACGTTTCGAAACATTCGAAATGCCGGTACGACGCTGAGGTTCGAGGTAGCCGAAAGTAAAACAGCGTTGGAGCACATCACACGAAAACAAAGCCTGACAATCAGCACGGTCTAAACGTCATATCATCGTCATTAGACGATCGACAAAGGGTTTGACTCCACCGCTGGACGTTCGGGGTCATCGCAGAAATAATCAGCAACAAGAAAACAAAGTAGACTATATCATTCAATAACAGCAGTCGGCTCGGCATCCGATCGATTCATACCGAACAAGGTGCATTTTCGTCGAGGCTCTTTCCTGGTCGACGATGATCGTCTATATGAGAGTCGTAACAAAATCCGTTGGAGAAGACCAGACGCTTTTCGAGCACACAATAATTATAGGTTGTGAGGGTCAAATATCTCCAGAGATCTCAGAAATGCTTCGGCAAGCGTTTTCAACAGCTGATCTCAATTTGAATCAAAACGAAAAAGAACCTTTAGCTTAATAATGAACTCAAAATTTGTACAGGGCTCTCTTCGGTATCCAGAAGAGGTCCGAACCGGGTACTAAGTAACTGAATCTGAACGCTCGACAAATGCAAAAAAAATATCAAATACGACAGAGTAACTGGAGCTGAATTCGATGTTCGATAATTCGAAATATCGGCTAAGTAATGAAAGCTTTCAGCACTCAGCATTCCCAGTCAGCAAGACAACCGTTCATTTTTTCCTTGATCCAAAGTGCCATATGATAGCCGCCATTACACAGGAATTTGCTAAGTGCTTTTCAATTGGAATAAAAAATGACAGAGTCCAGTGTCCAAAATCTTTACGCATAGTTTGGCAGTCACGTTTTACCTACTTCGGTTAAGCGGATTCGTCTCAGAGACACGAGGAAATCTGTCCTCTTATCCGCTATCATTGCCTAGCGATACCGGCACAATT